CGGACCCCCGGACACGCGCGGACGCCCGCGGCGGGGCGGGGCCGCGAATACCCGCGCCCGCTGCGCCCCGGGGAGCGCCCCGAGGCACAGAGCGGTCAAACGTGGGGCTCCCTGCCGGATCTCCCGCTGGGTGATCCCTGGACACGGAGCTTGGCCTCTCTGGGCGCAGTTTCACTCTCCGTAAAATAATCCCAGGCATGGCGCCTTAAAAGAGCGAACCCTGCTAAATGTTTAGAACATAGCCTGGCACACAGGAGGTCCTCGATCAATGGCTAGCTGCATTCATCATCATCGTTATTATGCGCTCAGCAGATATTTACTGCACGCCTGCTAAATGCCAGGCCTGGGGATAGAGAAGTGAACGACGCAAGCTGGTGTCCCTGGGAGAGCTTAGGTCAGAGCAGAGCAGTAAGGTCTCAAACCTGGGCTTGCATCAGCATCATCTGGGGGGCCTGCTGTAACGGCAATTGCTGGGCCCCACCCCCAGAGTATCTGACTAGAAAGGCCTGGGGTGGAGCCTGAGAATTCGCATTTCCAACAGCTTCCCAGGGACCACACTTGGAGAACCTCTGGAATAGAGGAAACCCACTCAAAAGAGTGCAAAGACTGTGATAGTGCCAGCAGTGGTCAGGTCGGTCAGGGGACATTACTGGGACAGTGACAATCACTGCAGCCCTGAGACACTTGAACCCTCATGCTGTCTTCCCAAGAACCCCTGGCAGTCCCAGGTGAGTATGACCCTGATCCCCATTGGATGGATGAGAAAATGGAGCCATGCTCCCTGGGATCCAGGACCTGACCCCAAGCCCAAGAACTTCTTCACCTACTCCTGAGCCCAGCCTGGAGGGTAGGGAGGAGGTGTGGGAAGGATTGGCTGGCTTTCTCCACCAGGCCTTCCTCCCTATCCTTCCCTAAAAATCCCTCTGGAAGGGAACGAACAAAATATCTTCTACCCAGAGGCCAAGCCCCTCCACTTTAGTCATTACTTCACTCATGCCTTCATTCAGCAGATAATATTGAGTGCCTAGTGTGGGGTAGATGCCCTGACAGGTGCTGAGACACCACAGTGACAAACCAGATGCAGTGCCTGGCCTGGGATAAGTCAGAGTTTTGTCAGGGAGGTCTACACGCACGTGAAATTCACGTGTGTGTGAAATTATTAACTGATGTGAAGATAGACAAAGTACTTTGAGGATGTATACGGGGCACTTGTCCAAGTCCAAGCTACCTGGAAGAGAGTGAACCTTCAGGTTACTGACAGACGAGGGCTGAACTCAGATGCTCTGACTCGCTGTCCAAGAATTTTTATTTAAAAATATTTTTAACCTTTTTAAAAAGATCCCTGTCAGGGCATTATATTTATTCATATATTTAAGTTAAATCAACTTGGTTTGGGTATAATTTATACACAATGAAATGCACTCATTTTAGTGTATTTCTTTAAATTATTTTTAACTTTTTTTTTAAACATCCTTGAGGAAACCACTGGATTTCCTTCATTTCTGCTCCCACCAGTGGCGGGTGCTGAGGCACTCAATAAATATTTATGGAATTGAATTAGCCCATGTGACAGAAAATAGAGAAAGGGAAAGAAATTCACTTGAAACTTCTGCCCAACACTTCAGTAAGACAGTGACTGTTCTGTCTTCCAGTCTTTTTCCACACCACAGGTAACTGGGGCTTCTGGGGTTTGTTTTTGTGTATTCAGGGCTCTACCACTTCTCCCAGCTATTTAATCTCTGATACTCAGAGATACTCAGAGTGTGGTCCTTGGACCAGCAGCATGGACATCACTTGGGAGGTTGTTAGAAATGCAGATGCTCAGGCCTACCCTAGACCTGCTGATTCACCATCTGCCTTTCAAGATCCCCAGGTTCTTCCTGGGCACATTCAAGTTTGAGGTACAAATAATAACCACCATTTATAAGTGCCTACCACGTGCCAGGCTTTATTTTAAGCACCTGAAAACGCACCATGTATAATGATGATACTTTGCACTGTCTACCTACTGTCCCTCATATTATTTCTCTTTTAATGTATATCACCTTATGTTAGTGCTGTTGTTTACACATCTTTCTCCCCCCCTTACTAATTATGTGGTCTTGGGCAAATTACTAACCTTTCTGTGCCTCCATTTCTTTTTTCATTTCTAAAAATGGAGACAATAATAGAACCTTCCTGAAAAGATGAAATGAGACAATGCTTGTAAAATACTCAGCACAGCCACTGGCCCATGGTAAGCGCTCAATAAATGTTGTTATTATTATTCCAGTTTTTCAATATTATAAAAAGAACAAGGCAATAAGCATCCCTGTACAAAATTCTTTTTACATATCTGATTATTTCCTTAGGGGAAATTCCTAGAAGGGTCAAGGGATATTATGTTCAGACTTTCTGGATTCTAAATAGCAGGAAGATGGACAAACTTTCAACGTGAGGCAGAGACTAGACCATGACTGATCTCTCTGAGGAGAACCAGAAATTAGCATTTCAGCCTGAACAGGGACCTGATAGCAGGTTCATTTCCCTCATGAGAACGCTGCTTTCCTTCTAATCCACATCCCCTCAGCCCCAAGGAGAAGAATTCCACGTCCTCCAAAAGAAATCTCAAAATCTCAGACAACACCATTCTTGGCTTCAATTATAAATGCTACAAAAACATCGTCAGAAAATGTTGCATAATATTCTACTAAGCGAGAATATAATAATGCCCATAACTAATCCCCATGGTTGCCTATGTAGGTCTTCACAATTTTTCAGTTTTATTAAGAACTTTGCAACTAACAAAGACAATAAATAAAAATTGTCTTTCCAACGTTCTCCTTCACAATCCACTCTTGGAAGGAAGGAGCGGTGATTACTTAATGCGATAATTTTGTCGCAGGAAATGCAGACCTGGGGCAGACCTCCCTTCTAGAGAACTCCCGCCCCCAGCAGCTCCCATTTCAGCCTTAATGAGGGACCTTGCTCCCTTCATTCACTTTAAAATGTCCCTGTGGAGGGCAGAGGCCTCCCTACCCCCACCCCTGCAAGTGAAAGGAGTTCGTTAAGAAGTCCTTTCTCAGGCACGAGGATTCCCGCTGGTAATTTCACCGAGGGGCCAGCTTCTTCCTAGGAGAAAGGTTGATCCTTCGTGCTCTGAAATGCCAAAGGGCATTTTCTTTTTTAAATTAAACTTTTTATTTTGAGATGATTGTAGATTCACATATAATTGTAAGAAATAATACAGAGAGATCCCTCGTACTCTTTACCTAGTTTCCCTCGATGCTCAGATCCCATCTTGCTAAGCTGTAGTACGCTCTCACAACCAGGATATTGACACTGATACAGTCAAGATACAGAACATTTCCACCACCACAAGGATCCTGCAATGTTGCCCAAGGGCATTTTAACAGAAGGTACAAACTCCAGGTCTTTCTACCAAAAACTGGAAAAAAAATACTATAGACATTCTCTTGTTTCCATTTATTATTATGCTAATCATACCATTGAAATTAGCTCCTTTATTATAAAATCATATAATAAAAATGCAAAATTACAGTTGGCCTAGTCTTTTCAGAACACCTATGTCATGAAAGTCATCAACAAAGGAAGGCTGGGGAATTTTTCCAGATTAAAAGAAACCAAAAATATAAGATACTAAATTCAATGAGTAATCCTGGATGGAGATAAACAATTCCTATAAATGATTATTGGCACAACAATGTGAATATACTTAACACTACTGAACTCTACACTCAGAAATTAAAGATAAGGCCAGCCCCATGGCGTAGTGGTTAAGTGCGTGCGCTCTGCTGCTGGCGGCCTGGGTTTGGATCCCGGGCGCGCACCAACGCATCGCTTGTCAGGCCGTGCTGTGGCGGCATCCCACATAAAGTGGAGGAAGGTGGGCACGGATGTTAGCTCAGGGCCAGTCTTCCTCAGCAAAAAGAGGAGGATTGGCATGGATGTTAGCTCAGGGCTGATCTTCCTCACAAAAAAAAAAAAAAAGAAAGAAAGAAAGAAAAAAGTTAAAGACAGTAAATTTTATGTATTTTTTTTACCACAATTTAAAAAAAGACATTGAGACAATTGATGAAATTTGAACAAGACGGTAGATTAGATAACAGTATTGTATCAATGTTCAGTTTCCTGAATCTGATAATTATACTTTGGTTATGTAAGAGAATGTCTTTGTTTTTGAGAAATATATACTGAAAGTATTTAAGGTAAAGGGGGGCAAGATGGTACAAGAAAAAAATGAGGAAGGAATAGCACAAATATGGCAAATGTCAACAATCAGCGACTCTGGGTAAAGAGGATACAGGTATTCTTTGCATTATTCTTGTAACTCTTTTGTAAATTTGAACTGATTTACACAATAAATTTTAAAAGGGGTAAAAAAAATTTAAATGATCTTTGTTCCCATTCTGTCGCAAGGGAAATGACTTTCTATTTAACTAATATAACTTTGAGTACTCACTCTGTTTCTCCCTTAATCCTCTCAGTCACCTCACCAGGAGGTCGGAACTCTTATCTTTGTTTTTTTGTGGGAGGGAGGATGCAGCCTAGAGAGAAAAGATGCTACCCAAGGTCACTTGCTGGTTAGGGGCAGGGCTGAGATCAGAACCTCCCAGATGCACTCTCACGATCACTCTGGAATGGCCTGTTAGACTTCTTTCTGCATGTTATTATTATTATTTTTTTATTATTAGATATTATCATATCTATACTGTTTACACTATTTAGCACCTTGCCTTTTCACTTAGCAGTATATCTTGGTGCTCTCTCCATATTAGCA